TGCTTGCACGCACCACCGGTCATTCTGCCGGCCCTGGTCTCCGAGCAGCCTCGCTGACACGCACGCCCGTTCTTCTGTGGTCATGTAGTAGAAGAGCTCTTGGTTCGATCGATTGCCTCCATGTTCAAAGCACATCCGAAATCTCGGCCGGCAGAGATAAAGTTCATGGGTCAAATTGGACTGCGATTGCGATACCTGCCGCACAGCATCAAGTTGAAGCCATACCCCAGGGGTATTCTAGTCAGCTGGGAAGATAACGAGACGGAGGCATTTCGCACGCTCGGGTCTGGCGGCCCGGACTACCATGTTGTGCTGCATGAAGGCAATTGTGCAAGTGCCGAGACGGCGTTTCTCCACGAGAAAGCAGGTCAGTGGCAATCGGCCATTCAAGGAGATACAGCTAACCCGTCATATAGCCCTCACCAACGAAGTGGTTCCCTGTGGCTGCCGTCGGCAGTTCGCTCGTCAGACACATCGAATGTTCCTCTTTACCGGTCTGTCGCACACATCGACATATTATGCCATGATTGCGCTGGACGAGGATCGGGCATTCTACGGAGTTCCATCTGATCGAACCTCGCCAGGGTCGTATGAGAATGGCAGAACTACTCTCTAGTAACATTCGGACAATGTATGCCACTCTCTGCAGCATATGAGGCTTTGATGGGAATATGCAGTGCGGGATTAACTCATGCAACAAGAGCACAAATGGTAACTTCATTGTATTCGGATCAAGTATGATATATACTGATATTCTACGTGTTCCGCAGGCGTCCGAGGTTGACTCTGATTCGTATTATTCAAAAGCTATTGCACGCCGTCATACTGTCGAACACCCAGATCTCACGATCTCTGCATCTATAATCACCAAAGTTTGATGAATTATTGAGGGTGCTTGTTACTTGTCTTCTCGCACATATGCAGCGCAATTTGATTCGCGGCCGTGACCAGACAGGATTGTCATCGAACAACTGTCTAGACACGTGCGGAAACATTACGAATGAATATTGACCCCTCGCCTCACATATCCTATCCATTTACCAACCACCGACGTATGCACCACCTTGTGCTATGATCGGTTCAGACGCGACGATCGGCGAAGCGAAGGAGTCGTGTCAGCCAGACGGGCTGACCGACGAACACTGCGTCCCGCGCCAGACATTGTTGATCTGCGGCGCGATGACACTGGCTGCGCCGGTAGACGGGCTGAACCGGCCCGCCGAGGATTGTCGATGGCATCCGTCTCTTCCGCCACTGGAGATCCACGTGTTCTCGCGTTTTCAACTGCCGTGTCGGGATTTGTCATGATCGTCCTCGGTGAGCGGAGCAGGGCATCCAGAGCTTCGTCACTCCGGCTGCGACGTATAAGCAATTGAACTAACTGGGAAGGCTAATCGAGACTTACCAAGCACAGCAGGACATGTTAGATGCCACCTCACGCTTCTGTAGCCACTCCTCCACACAGCCTAGATGAGCTAATCCCCGGCACTGTTTGCAGCGCAGGATTACGCTCTCATCCGCCTGGTCTTCCTCGTCAGCCAGACAAAATGGACAATGTATATGAGACACCTCTTCGCTACGAGTGAGACTGTGCAGTTCCAGATTTTGCATCCCCGCCCCGATATTGAATGCGGACAGAGTGGCTGGTTCAGCCGGCGAGATACACCACCGGACACTGTCGGTGCGTAGCATCAATGCCGTGACGTATCGAACTGTCCTTTCCAATGGCTCGAGAGGAATGGAGTCATGGACCAGTGGTATTTGTCTCTCCTCGTTCTGACGTGTAACCCTGCGGGGAATCTCCGACTCTGAGGGACTCGCAAATACTACAGAAGCAGCCTCAGAGATGGGACCGGCTCGTTCCCGGTTGCGAGCCGCAGCCTCATACCACTGCTGGCCAACTTGGTCTGCCTGTCGCTGTCGGTGCCATCTCGCACAGAGAAAGTTTTTTGCCATATCACATAAAATAGGTCGTAAAGTCGACAAGTCGAGTGGTCGTGCCGCGAGATTTGCCAGTTGCTGTTGGCCGGTCTTGATGTCTTGGATTTTGATGGAGTTCTTGCACGTGCACCCGTCTTGGTGATCCCGCAGCAGATTCGAGCTTCCGCGTGTGCCCTGATACCCATCTCGTAAATAATGAAACGGTCCGACTCTTGGTAAGATGCCATGGCTTGGTGATATGCTGGGAATGAGAAACGATCAAAATGATTGAGATGATTGAGATGCCAACCAAGGGGCGAAGCTACTCTTTTATACAGTACCGTAACTCTGGCTTCGTCTGAAATAATACGAAGCCATTTCATCGGCAACATCTCACATATGTAGCTGCCTACCGCGGTGAAGGAATGTGTCTTTTCTGTAGCTGAGGTCTCCTTGTTTTGGTGGTCATGAACTGAGTGAAGGCTACTGCCTCTCTAAGCAGCCCTGTGGTATTCCGAGCAGTCATGCATCCGCAACAAGTCACCAGTCATGCTTCTAGATTTCCTTAGGAAGCTCCTAGGGTCTTCAAAGTTCCCTGGAGCTCACAAGTATGATCCCCGCGACAGACGCACTGTCTCCAGGATCTTTTGATGCGTTTCTAGGAGCCATTTAGTGAGAATGGCACGACTGAGAAGTCGTGACCAACATATAAAGGTTAATTCCCTCACCAGACTGGCAATACTACAAATTCATCCAATCCACAAGCATCCAGTATTAGTGCCTCTCGCGCATTCCGTTTGCTCTAATCGGTTAACGGCCTCCACTTCCACGACCTACGATTTCCGTTCTACTCTGTCCTTTCAAGAACCAAACAATGGGCCAATACTGGCTAGTGGTTTGCCCATCCAAACGCGAGTACACAACACAACCATTTGGGGGAAAGTTGTCAGAACTGCTTTTTTCCTCGTGGGCCAACATACTGTGTGAACTGATTGAAGACGAGTGGGCTGGCACTCCGCTCATCTGTATTGGGGATTACCTAAGACCAGACGACCTCCCTGCCACGATTCAACAAGACAACCTCCACTTAATCTATAGCGAGGGCGATACAATATCCAAGCCTCTTCGCTACGATATCGTTGAAGAGAAGTTCAAACTTTGCTTTTACGAGGAAGAAGAGGAGGGAGCAGCGACTATCTCGGCCGTGGAAGCATCTGTCAATCCCAAAAATCGAATCCTGAGGAACTTGACTGCCAAGCAATATGTCTGGGAGGACAAATTGCCATCTGGAATCACCATTGGCGATATAGTTGTGATGAGAATTTGTTGGTCGTCTGAAAGTTCAACCGGCATTGAGGGAGGAAAATATCTGGCCAAGGGAGACTGGGCTGGCCATGAGTTCGACATTGTTGACGCCGACATGCTGGAAAATACAAATGGAGAATGGGAAGATGTCCCCGGGGACACCCGCGACGAGGTTCAGGATCTGTGGTCGAGCCATTTCGGAGAGAACTGGGAAACCGAATGGAGTGCATGATACGTCATGAGCAAGAAGCTATGAAATCACTCGATGTAAAGTATACCGGAGATGTAATTCTAGACTATCAAAGAAAGCATGAATGAGAATACCTTTGGAGACGCCCTTGCGCTTTTGATGTCTTTCTATCAATCGTCAAAGAAGCCCAAAGAAGCCCAATCCTCCTCATGCTCCAAGCACGTTTTCACCCTTTCTAGTTGCTCTGTTCTTCTCAAGATACAGCTTTAGAGCTTGATGATGATTTGTCTCAACCTTGTCTTGTTGCAAGAGCCGTGAAAGAGGGGTCAAGGAAATGTTATCCAACGAATTGACGTAGGCTCCGTTCTCCACCAGAATTCTAGCGGTAACATACGAGCCATACTGGGCGGCCCAGGAAAGGGGCGTTCTTTTGCCTCCATCGCGATGATTTATTGGTGTGCGAATCACTAATTGTTGGTATCACCAGCTAGGTACTGTATACACAGTTAAGTGGACAATTTATGCTCCTAAGCAAAAGTTGATTGATTCGTGTATGATAGATGTGTGTCAGCGCATGGAGTGGTTATTTACCACTAGCATGCGATTGGTTGCCCAGGAACCCACATTTCTTTGTGTTTGGTATGGTAAATTGGTTAAATTCGCAATCTCGGTGTTATAACCACCGAGTATCACCACATTCCGGGGGTATTTCAACCTGCCCTTGACCGCACGTTTTCTATTCAATCAATCAATCATTTTTCATCTTAGATTGGTTCCGCTTGATCTCATTCGTCAAATATGCATACTAGTCCATACACTTTTAGCTTGTGCTGATAATGTGTGTTCTCAAGTCAGGTCAGGTGCCAAGATACCCCTTAATTCCATGCGCCGACACTGGGCAGTCACAACACCGGAGCCGCAGCTCCGCGCAAGAATGCGTAGACCAAGCAAGGCATATTATCTCTCGGCTGAGAGAAGATACATCCCGACACTAATAGTTGAAGAAAAAGCACTTTTCAATCACCCATAGCTGTGTAATGAATGAGAGACCTTTTGAATGGGCCTATTGGGTTAGATACGCCTCTGAACTTGAGATCCGAATGAGCCTCTTCGAGGAAATCCATGATCTCTTCGCTGACTTGGTTGTCTCTCATGCGTTTCAAGCGTTGGAATTCTCCATCGATAGAAGTAGTATAGGTAGCCATTAGAGGCCGAATGTAATGATTAGTAGACAGCGAAATCCAAGAGCTGAAGTGAAGGTATTGATTAAGATAGGTCTTGAGATGAGCACTTAGCCATTCCCAGCCTAACGTTCGAAACTCCTGCAGAATCAGATATTTGAGGCTTCTTTAAAAATTTCTGGTTGGAAGGACAATTCGTGTACTCCGAAAACAAAGTATTGCAGGTAGCCTGTGAAGTCTGAGGGCGAAAACAATCCGTATACTACAAGTCCACCAATGGTTAATCGTTCTTGAATTTATTTAAACTCAAATTTCCCGCTCCTGTACTCCGGTGTCGCCGAATAAACGATACCCATCACCTCGATCTGGTTAAAAAACAGGGGATATTGGACTATGAATGCGTTCTAAAGCTGAGCAGGATTCTCCACTAGTTGAGAGATTTTCAACTTTTTGCGACTCTCAGCCTTTACTAGATCTGACTCATCTGAGAAAGGCCGTTTAACCGGCAGCGAGAGTTCTCGATCATGATGATCGGGCCCCCTATGCCGGGGTGTGGTGTTCAAAGCGTCCAGAGCTGCGTGTGGAGCCTGATCCGAGGCCGATAGACGTAAGTCCTTGTCGGGGGATGGTACAACTTCACCACCCTTCTCCTCATTCATGATACGACGATTCGGCGATGCAGGATGCTTTGGCAGAGGCGGAAAGCCGTAGATGGCTTGTAGCCGATTTAAAGAGATTATTGGGAAATACCGTTTTGAGCACTGCAGATTTTCAAAAACAGCTGTCTTTGTTTTCTGGCTGACAAACTGTTGAGGGCATCCGCACGAAGCACGGTCCGCAGCACTGTCCACTGAGTCCGCCCGTGTTAGCAATTGATAGTAATCAAAGTTTATGAGGGAAGGAAAACCATATACTTAAATCGCCGTGAATCAGGTCTGCTCTCACACCACTACATTTCTCTTCATGGAGGACCACGTGATACGGTGGGTCATGAATAGAGCGTTTGCGGATTGATTCCGTCTCGTTGTCTTCCCACGTAACCTTCAAGGCTCCAGCCAAGAACGACCTGGACACGGTGATTGTATGCGGCACGTGCCGAAGCAATCTTCGAATTCTCCGCAGAATCACCACTTCCGCGGATTTGGAAGCAGCGGACCGTCCCAGCAGGGGAACCAGGCAAAATTTCAACAACTCTTCGACAATGTGGTCGCAGAAGAAGACGTTATCGCGGAAGTTGACGTGATTGCAGAAAAAGGATTGCGCGTCCGATCTTCTTGACAGAACTTCGCGACAAAAGCCTAGTCCGTGCGAACCGACAAAGTCCAGCTACTGGTGAGCAACCTTCAAGACCCTGGAGTGAGAGTTATAGAGCGCCTGGATTGCACTGCGTTGAGCACGCATATACTGTACCTCGATCTGTCTGCTGTCTAGAAGGATCGCTATGTAAGCCAGAAACGCTCTGTGTATGGTTTGTGCGTAGCTGGTCTCTGGGACTGGACACACCTCTGTATTGTTGAAACACCCGATTTGTTCTTCCTTTGGCGTCTGGATTAGCGAACAGGAGCGCAACAAAGTCCACAGAGATTCCGGAAGCTTGACCGGCTGTCTCTCTAAGATTTCTCGAATGCTTGCGATGCTCTGTTTTTCCGTGAGCTGCGCGCCACGCAATACCCCGTTAAAGGAAACTTACCTCGGCACTGGAGGCTTTATTGTAGAAAAATTTGTTATCGCTAGCCTCGCCTAGAAGATGCTTCTAGATGAGAAGCTTGGTCGATAATTGCAGAAAATGGGTAGCCGATTCAACATTGAGTGCCTCCGGGGAATTGCGTAGGAGACTAACATAGATGGGAAGAAAAGCGGTGCGATGTTTCCGTATTGCGGCTTCCTAGATTCGTCGCACTATGTTGGCTTCCTTATCTCGATCGACTAGAATCTGTCGGTCGCGATTCACCTTTCCCTGCAAGAAGTTGTAAGCAAATCGATACTGCTTGAGTCCGGACCTAGAGCACGGCAGACGTATTCCCTTGAGGTAGACCCGGCTGTGGAAATCGGGATCGAGGATCAGATCTCTAACCTCGGTTTCAAGAACATCTGAGGGATGCGAAAACCCTCGAATGTCGAGCGTGACTGTTAGCTAAGTACGAAATTCTGCGAGCGATACAGCGTTTTTTCGCGATTCTTTTGGAGCTCGGATCTCGACCGTTATATCTCTCTCTACGCGAGAACGGAGCCGAAATATGTCGCCTCGTGGATCAGAGCTCTCGGGGCTGGGCTGATTGGAAGGCTTAATATCGCAGAAGAGACGAGATTCCAAGAGGCCAAAACGCTAGTAGCGCCTGCTAGCAGATAATTCCACCTCGAATCCACTGCGCACTATCACCAGAGCTGCTAGCTTCAGACCCTCTCTATGACAGCCAGCGGAGTTAGAATTATGTTGCTTCGATGAGCTACCGAGTTCAAGTGCGTTGAGACCTAGTTCAGCGCAGGAGTTGGAGATTGTCACGCAACCGCTGTGCTTGTTATACTTGATGAATCCCAAAGCACGACCTTGTCGATGTCGATCTGAGAGATCAGGGACGATGATCGCAACACAATCGCCTCTATCTTCATAAAATGGCTGAAAGTCGAGACGGCCTAAGTTGGAACGTGCCAAAATGGCATCTCTCCTATGTTTAGTTAGCTTTAGTCTCTGGCTACGTGTTTAGCAGTGGCGACATAGAACTGACCAATTCTGATAGAGCTCCCTGAACGCGGCCCGGGTATCCCAGTCTGGGACATATGACGAAGAGACGCCAAAGAAAACTGTTTTCCCGCAGCCACTCTGGTTTTGATGATGAGCTGGCTCAACTTGGAGAGTTTTGTTTGGATCCAGCTCTCCAACGACATTGTTGGGGGGATTGTTTGGCTGCATCGAGCCTATAGTAGTAGGATTCCCACAGTGTGACTGCTTTATTACAACCATGGGAAACTGAGGTGGAATGCGAGACCAAAATTGATTGATGGGAGAGAATAGTGGGATTTGACGGGAATTTATAGGCGAGCGGCCGCCATTAAGGCTATGATGCCAGCCAGTGCGGTACTTTCATCACTTCCGAAATAAGTCGATTTCCCAGTCCGTTTCAACATCCTGGTGATCACCGGCCAGAAAAGGGTTTTTGTATAGACCATGACATCCAAGTACGTACATCACAGACTGTGCAGCCAAAGGAAACGTTTAGTACTTTTCAGTCTTCGCACAGCATGTCTCATCTGAAATTACTCATCAGTGACCTTTTTAGTCTATTAGCCAGTCGCAAGTCGTCCTGACTTCAATATGACAATTCATGTTGTGAGAGACGATGCATAACCAATTGATAACTTATCGTTTTGTATGATCCGTAAGCAGCCCAGATTTTGTTTATGTTTATGAATAAATGTTGAGTTCATGGTGAACAGGAGTCAGACTTTGATGGTTCCTTTGGAAAGTGGTTTCTCGTAGAGTGGGATGACTTGTATGGTCCTGGGCTCCGGCGGAGGTTGGAACACTTCAGACCCCTCCCCTTCTTTCTAGTGCAAATATGAGGCGTATCGAGTATGCAGCGACCGTTCACGGGAGCGAACTTTTTGGACATGGCGACTGTTGACGCATCCCAACGGTTAAATGTCGACGTTCAACGGTGAGCCCTACTTGCTCACTTCGTGTTCGAAATAGTTTTCTCAGATGTACGATCCATGGTACGCCAAACTGTCTGCAAAGTCAAATCCGCAGTGAAAGAAATTCGGGTCTGGTTTCCCAATAGTATAGCATCGCCCAGATTGTCAATTCGGTAGAGCGAACAGAAATTTTGATTTCAGGGCTTAACAGCACCAAAGAACTGCTGTAGTATCATTCCGTTATCCGCTATTCAGTAGGATTATTCCAAACTCTGTATGATGCATCGGCTTATGCGGGACCCCCGATTTGATCCAGAGCCTTCAATGGCAGAGAGCATTGATTCTCCATTAAATTGTATTCGGCATATTTCTAACAGTAATGTAGTGAGCATAGGCCATGGCAATCGGACTCAGAGCTATGGCACTTATATTTCTTCAAGCTACTTCGTACTTCTTGGATGTGTACTTGAGTTTCCAAGTGCAACGAGTACGCCGGTCTTGGAAATTAAAGTACCAAATACAGCCACAACCTCGTGATTTTATATTAATTTCTCTCAAGATATGCGTGGACCTGTCTGTGATGATATGACGGCAATAACAACTGCCCGGGTCTGACTTGATAGCAGAGCTCAACGACCCCGAGTTGGGCCATACCATGATTTGTTGCCGCTTCTCATTCAAACTCTTTCTCTAAAAATTGTCGTACCTCGTGGGAGAAGTCGTTCTCTACAAGGTGAAGAATTCCTTTAAGGGGTTCTGGCAATGTGATGGAAGGGTGCGACGAATGACTGAGCCCATTCTCTACTCGGCAGGACCGGAGATTTGCCTGTCGCCGTGGAACGACAGACCGTCCAGATGGCCTTGGAAGCGCGACCCGCAGGTATTTCCTAAGACGCCGGAGACTTTGAGTGTGAGAAGAACCACTCGTACGTTGAACAAAACCGATAGCTGCTCGAGTCATCCGCAGAAGCGATTGTCGATCTTGGGCGAGATGATGGACCGCCGCGTGGCGAATAGCCGAGATCGAATCTCGCCAGCCTTGGATATCGCTGACAGCTGGACCTGAAGGATTCGCTGTTGATGCGCGTCGGTGTCGATTGAGAAATTGAAACAGCTTGTGTAGTTCCAAAGCCTCCGGACATGTCCACCTATTTTGTACCGATTCCGGGAGGAAATACCGCTCGACATACCAAAATGCATGATATTCGAGATGCCGCTGGATTGACTGCAGAATTATATGCTGCGCCTGAAACGGAACCCAGCCCTCTGGTGTCCCGACGAGAGAATATAATGCGTAGAGTACATCTGGTCAACAGTCAGTCAAAGGCGTTGGCATCATCCGAATTTGTGTTCTCACCGGACACGGGTTTTTCTTGCAGGGAACGGACGAAACATCTGAGCGTTCTATACGAAGTGTATTAGAGAGCGTCTAGGTTGAAGAAGCTATGTTCATACTCACCTTGTGGTTTCCGGTCGTGAACGCACGCGGGCGAGCGGAGATGTCTGATGGCCAGTCATGTCCTGGCCAGGCCGCGACATCCTCTTGACGCATTTTCCACCAGACAATTCTCGTTTTCGGAGTCGCCGCGATATCTTCGGCATTGGGCTGTTCCAGCGTTCCGTAGTGTAAGGGACGAAGACCTAGTCTGGTAGACTGTTTGAAAATTTGATCTTTTAGCAAGCCAGTCAGTCAGCCAAGATGCACTGAGAAAAGTAGCATATACTGATAACAGTCATGAAAAGGAGAGGACGCCAAACCCACAATTGGACCGCAAGTACCTGTATAGTCGTCTATGCCGGCCACGTAACCGGGAGGATCTTCCTCTTGCCAGACATTTTTCAAACGCAACCGATGTTGCTCAATGCTCGGTTGAACGCGCTTTTCAACGACCGTTGAAGGTGATTCACCGTAAACATCTTGAAAATGAGATGCAACCGCCAAGAGATGGTTCCAAGGATGGCCCAGTCGAGATTCATGCACGCCACGGTTCGAAGTGGGGCGCCTGGCGGGATTGGCCGCAAACTCTAGATCGCATACTTTAACAGATGTTGAATCACCTCAACTGGCGGCAAAAATGAAATATTTTCTGCGGAATTACAGCATAGTCCATCATCTCTCCCATAACTCTGCATACCTGGCAGCTACGAGCGGCCGAAGGCGAAAAGGCATAAAAGGTTTTCGTAGGTACAGTACAATCCATAGGCTATAAAAATTGGACATTCACTAGGGATGGCTCAACGTTGATATTTGCAAGCCTCCCTCACCAACAGAGCCCCACTTTCAACTCAAACCTCCACCTCCAACCATTCAGGGAATAAATAAATATAGCAATACTCGAGTGAGTGGCCACTGATAAATTTCCTGCCGGCACGTTTTCAAGTGGCAGATAGGACCTTTCCCTCGATCTATTTCAGAAAATTCTCTTTTTTTGACAGGCCCTCATCCTCGACCACGTTAGAGTTCCTTCGTTGACAATAGCGCAGTATGACAGGAAAGCCGCTAAATATCGCTGCAGCAAGACTTTCAGGGATTACAAAAAATAGTATAACAGTTTGGTGGGAGAGACCTATTCCTCAGACTCTGCGGGCTCCTCGAAACCTACGCGCTCATCTCGGACGAAGCTAGGATCCACGCCCACAGAACATAGGCGCGCATCGTCCCTAGCTGCAAAGCCTGAGAGCAGACACAATCGGAGGGTTCGGTTTGAGCCCATTGAAAAAAGCCGGTCGCCGGAACCGACTCGATTCAGTTAGAATGATCAGGCTCGGTCTAAAAGCAGTCAGGCCTTTTTGCACTATACGTTGCAACACCACGTTCTCGTCGAGTCTAATTCCTGACAGAAATAGCAGACCGATCAGACGGGATCAGAAGGACAGGAGCTGGCCGACTAGACGAATGAAGTGAGTATTGAAGTCTCTTTCATAATTTTAGGGGCAACAAGCCAGGATGATCATGTAACTAACGCAAGATAGATCGGTGTCAAGAAAGCGCGAGCGTCGTCGGCAAACCGGTGATAAACAGTTCCACCTCCGCCACACCAAATAAGCCCAAGGGGATATCGAACGTCCCATAAAAAAGAAAAGAGGTGTTAGAAGGAACCGGGGCCAGTAGATCACATCTAAAAAAGGGCATACTAAGACACAATATGAAAGGTTATTTTTGAAATTGCTCTCTATAACGATATTTCAATCAGCGCTCCCAGTTCATCAATCACCAATCAAGCTAGTACTAGTCGTTATGGAAATTCTTCGCCTCGTCTTAGGCTAAGGTGCGATCGGCGGCCGTCCTCCCAGAGCCAAGTTGCACGGCCGGCGGGTATCGGCTCCCGAGTTTTGTTATACGCTTAACATAGTCATTATTACATTCTTTGGTCATGAAATCTGTACTGAAAACTCTATCGAATTTGAATTATGTTTTAAATTAGCAGTCAGGACGCTCGAGATCGCCCCACACGACGTCCCTAGTAAATATTCAAAAGAATTCAAATAGCAAGCATATGCTGGAATCATCTAGTCAATGCGACCTGGTTCCTCATCTGCATCCACAAGAGATCCGATCAAGGGCAACCACGTAGCGATTGCCGCCTCCTTGTGATGGGCTTTCAGGTTATTGTGACGCGAGAAGCCGCGCCGACAGTCCGGAACCAGCATGCATGCGGCTTTTCAGCCAAATGGCCGGATAAATAACGCTGAAGGCCTATGAAATATCGAAGGCAACTTCTACACGCCGCAACGCTGCATTTGAATTCTCGCCGCCGGAAGTGCCATGGTATGTTTGCTGTTGCGACTGTGGCTCAGGTGTCACGGGTGGAAAGACAAAAGACCTGGTTTATTAGACTGTTCGCAGGTTTGATCTTTGACCGGCCGTACAGTCAGCCAAGACGTGCGGAAGAGAGTGTATAAACTGACAATAATTTTCGAGACAGAAACGTCCCATCCACATATCTCCATAGAACGACCCAGGAAAAACTCTGATTGCAAAATTTTCTCAAAATTTATTTGCACTTTTCAACGTTTGTTTCAACGACTGTTGAAGGTGATTCACCGTAAACATCTTGAATATGAGATACAACCGCCAAGATTGATTCCAAGGGTGGCCCCGTCTAGATTCATGCACGCCACGGTTCGAAGTGGGGCGCTTGGCGAGATTAGCTGCAAACTCTAGATCGCATACTTCAACGGATGTTGAATCACCTCAACGGCAAGAATGAAGTGTTTCCTACAGGTTTACAGTGCAGTCCACCACTTCTCCCATATATTTTGCATACCTGGCTGCTACGAGCATCCGTAGGCGACAATACATAAAAGGACGCTCCACAACCGGTCTAGAAAATTCAGGACTTCCATCCTCATCCTCCGAGACAGTCACGGTCATCTTCTCTAATTGCAGACTTGACTTATCATCAGTCTTGGCTTTCGCTGGCATGAGCCCATTGAAGGAAGAAATGCGCTCTCTCGCAGGGCAGGCTCTGCATTATCAAGTGAACTCCGCAGTGACAACTGCGATACCAAGAGACTCCGCAGGGGGGCGCTGCGTCACGAATTGAACTCCGCAGGAATCGAAGCGAATCCAAGCCGAAGATGCGAGCGCGCTTGAGCATTAGTACGACCAGCTTGGTCAGCTACTCCATGGCGTACCCTCGCGTTTAGTATACAACTTTGATGAATGCGGCTTCCAACCTGGTCAAGGGCGATCGAGAAATGTTATCGGCTCTGGCTTAGCTTGCCCTGATCTAGCTGAAACTGATCGAGGCGAAACTATTACAGCAGTTGAATGTATCGCTGCTGACGGCTGGCTAATGGATCCGCTCTTTATCTTTAAGAGTAGCGGATCTAACTTCAAGGAAGCCTGGTACGATGGTAGCGAAGCCCTTCCACCTAATACCGGCACTGCAATGTCACCGAACGGCTGGATTTCTGATGAACTAGCCCTGTGCTGGCTAGGGTATTTTATCAATGCGACTGCTGGTGATCGCTTACTACCGGGCGAGAAGCGGTACCTTATCTTCGACGGGAACGGCGCGCATCTAACTCTCCAATTTCTAGAGAAATGCGAGAAGTATGCGATCGTACCATTCGCATTTCTACCGCATTCTACACACCTCTGTCAACCGCTCGACGGGAAGCCCTTTTTGAATTATAAACAGCAATTTCGGCTCGAGAATAATGAGCTATCATTTTGGGGTGGCCGACCGTACGGGAAGGCTGAATTTCTACGGATTATCCAGCCGATTCGTGAGCGAACATTCCACCCGCGAATTATTCGCGATTCCTTCAAAGATAGTGGTATCTGGCCAGTTAACGGTTGTGATATCGTAGATAGTCTTGTACAAGGCTCACTTTACGGTATTCCTGATCTATATGCACCGGAGCTTCGATCGGCCGATCGTACACCATCTCCAGCACTATATACGCTATCTTCTAGTATAGAAAATAGCCCTCCAGACACTATCGAAGCGCTCGAGAGGAATCAGGCGAAGATTCTAAGAGATATCGCCTCTGATTCAGCGAAAGCTCAGCGAAATCTCACTAGGATCTTCCAACACCAGCGAGAGAAGCTTGAAGAGCTTGCTATGACGCAGGACTCGATTCGGCGCATTCGAGCCGCGCAAGCCCCCCAACGTCGTGTATACACTAAGCGGCAGGTTAAAACGCTAAGCCAGGATGGTATCCTACGCCCTCGTGATGCGAATCGGTCAATTAAAGAGCGGAAGGAGAAGGAAAACGCTGCAGAGAAGCGGAGGATTGATAAGGCAGCGGAGAAGGCGTACGGCTTCAAGCCTTCACAACTATCGGATGAGACTATTCAGAGGGCAAAGGATAGTGCGAAGGAAGCGAAGGATAACGGAGAGCTCTTTTTTTATGGGTTAATTGCGTGTTTTTAGCTAGTTTTGGTTGATTAATCGCATGGTTTATTCAAAAATCTATGAAGGTCGAGTGGCTATGAAGGGAGCGTATGGGTGGGTCGCAGCGTAGCGAAGGGCACGGATAAGGCCTTAAGCGGTATTGAAGACTGCTGAAACCTCAACATATAGTAAACCGAAGTTACTCCTACTTTATTGTCTTAAACCCTTCCTCCATAATTAAGCAAGACCTCCGCCAACGGCCGTTGACCCTTTTGCATAGCTATATGTAGTGGGGTGTTTCCAAAACTGGTGCACATGTTCACATCAGCTCCATGGCTGAGAAGAAGTTCAGCTATGATTGGGGTCTTTGCGAAATGTAAAACATCTCCAAAATCCTCATCGAACTCCCACCTGAGAGGAAGGAGAATTTCCGGGTGGTGGATGGTTGCGCCATGCGAAAGCAATAACCGCACCCCTTCTTCATTTTCATGGTTAACACACCATGGAAGAGCCGAACTCAAGAACAAATAACATTGCGTTTGTAAAGATTCGAAAGCAAAAGCCGGTAGAATCTTTTGTTTGTCCTCAGTAGAGCAAAAAAATCCCTCTCTTTTATCAATTTCTCGCTAATTATCAAGACGACTTCGTTTGGTAGGCTCGATAGAGACATGTCGATAGACTCAAAAGGTGTCGGCAACGGAGTTATAATCGAGTGGGAGGGAGCTACTAGAAAAATGTGTCGCTACAGTAAATCGTACTATGCCACAAATTTTATATTTCAACCTGTCATCTTTCGGCCGAGGAAGTGACATTTCGGCGCCTAGCTTGCTTGTGCCTGACACCAGTGACGACATGTATTTTTTATATATGGATTAGCTGATTGGCGCCCACGGGCCTGAAGATCACCAGTTCGTGGGGCCTGGCCCACACTAGGTCGGTCGCGCGACGCTAAAGCGGCGACTCACCCTAAACTCACCCGGGAGGCAACCACCCAGCTATTGACCGATAATCTTTTCCCTTCTTGCTATTCAAAATATCATATCCCCATGACTATCTGTT